ATGATGGGCTCAAGTATAGCAGGGATTGTGGGGCTGGCGCGGGATTGGGCAGTGTGTCGTTCTGCTGTGCCTGTGGTCGCTATGAGTCGGAAACGACTCGACGGCACTTAACAACAACAACAACAAGTTAATAGGAACACACTGGGGAAAGCGGAAATTCATAGAGGATGCAAGCTGGTACCCCTCCGGCCAGTCACTCTTTTTTGGAGTGCCTAAAACTTGGCAAATTTTAAAGATTTCATCAAATTCACTTTTCCCTGGGAAAGTGGTCGCAATGTATATAGTTCAGCCATTATACTCCCAACAGCCCACACATCAATGGGAGAGCTATAAACTGAAGATCTCAGTAAAACTTCAGGAGCACGATACCATCCAGTAGATACATAATCAGTATATGGTGGCTGTGACCTTAATTCTCGTGCAAGCCCAAAATCAGCAATTTCACAAGTTCTGGACCCATACAAAGCAAATTTTCTGGTTTCATGTCTCTATGAAAAAGAACATGTTTATGAATAAAAGCCAGCCCTTGCAGTATTTGATACATAATATTTCTGATGACAGATTCAGGGAACAACTTGTTTCTGTCTTTCATTAATTGATACAGGTTTTCTTTCAAATATTCAAATACAAAATAAAGATGGTCATTTTCTCTGATAACTTCTTTTAGTTTAATCACATTGGCATGATTAAGTTTCTTCAGAGACTTAACTTCTCTCAAATTCATACATTCATCCCAAGAGTAGAACTTTCTCTTCATCCCTTTGATGGCCACCAGCTCCCCAGACTCATTGCTCTTGCCCATAAGCACACTCCCATAGGTGCTTTCCCCCAGCTGTCTCATGGTTGTGTACTGGTTCATCTTGGAAAATAATGCAGCAGAAATTGTCGACTAAATGGACTGCCTTGTTGAATGGAAATTTAAATGCGTTTTTCTTTTTATTATTATTTTGTTTTTTGTCTTCAGACTGTCGTTAGATGTGTGACAGGTTGGTCTTCATTAAATATAGACTTTTCCCCAAGATTATGTAGGTTCATGAGATATAGCAATGAGGAATCTGTCAAGGAAACAGTGCTTCCATTCTTACAAGCACCCTCTTTATCTCCCTGGTGAAACTCTGGCGTCCCGTGTATTTTATCTCCTAGGAAACGGCCCTATATGTAATTTTTTGATAAATAATATTAAATTGACCTTTAGAAAAGTTAGACAAGTTATACTAGCTCAAGGTTTTGAACACATGATTTGGTAGTAAATACAATTACCTCTATTTTTCCATTTGAGGCAATTAAAGCAAAAAATGGGAATGTGGCAAGAGCTCCACAGCAAGTCAATGGGAGGGTTCCCTTCATATATGTCAGGGACAGATTTTTACATGTACTTTACATGTAGTCTCATTTAATTCTCACAACAGTCCTAAAAGGAGTTATCTTGTATTCTCATTTGCAAAAAAGAAAACTGAAGTTCAGAAATGTGAAGTAATTTAAACAAAGTTGTATATCAAAAGATTTCAAAGGGTGACTAAAGAAGACAGAGAAAAATATTATAAAGAAATATACAAACATTTTTAGTATTTCTCAAGCTGAAATACTTGAAGAAAAAAATTCAAGCCTCCAGTTGTGATACTGAAGGATTCTACGGGCAAAACGTTGAATGACATAGGAAGCATCAAAAGAAGATGGAAGAAATAAACAGAGTCACTGTACCAAAAAGAATTGTTGGACATTCAGTCACTTCAGGAGGTAGCCTATAATCAAGAATCAACCATGTTGAGGGAAGAAGTCCATGCTGCACTGAAGGCATTGATGAAAACTGAGGCTTCAGGAATTGATGGAATATCAATTGAGATGTTTCAACAAATGAATGAAATGCTGGAAGCACTCACTCTTCTATGCCAAGAAATTTGTAAGACAACTACCTGGCCAACTGACTGGGAGAGATCCATATTTGTGCCCATTTCAAAGAAAAGTGATCCAACAGAATGCGGAAATTATCATTAATATCACAAGCAAGTAATATTTTGCTGAAGATAATTCAAAAACAGTTGCAGCAGTACATAGACAGGGAACTGCCAGAAATTCAAACCAGCTTCAGAAGAGGATGTGGAATGAAGGAAATTATTGATGATGTCAGAAGGATCTTGGCTGAAAGCATAGAATACCACAAAGATGTTTGTCTGTGTTTTATTGACCCTGCAAAGGTATTCACCTGTGTGCATCATAACAAATTATGGATAACATTGTGAAGAATGAGAATTCCAAACACGTAACTGTGCTCATGAAGAACATGTACATAGATCAAGAGGGAGTCATTTGGACAGAGCAAGGGAATACTGTGTGGTTTAAAATCAGGAAAGGTGTGCATCAGGTTTATATTATTTCATCACAATTATTCAATCTATATGCAGAGCAAATAACCCAAGAAGCTGGACTATATGAAGAAGAACACAGCATCAGAATTGGAAGAAGACATATGCAGCTGACACAACCTTGCTTGCTGAAAGTGAAAAGGACTTAAACATTTACTGATAAAGATCGAAGACTACAGCCTTCACTATGGATTATGCCATGCCTCAACATAAAGAAAACAAAAATCTTCACAACTGGACCAATAAACAACATCATGATAAATGAAGAAAATATTAAAGTTGTCAATAATTTCAATTTACTTGGATCCACAATCAACTCAGCAGTCAAGAAATCAAATGACATATTGCTTTGAGCAAATCTGTCACAAAAGACTTCTTTAAACTATGAAAAAGCAAAATTGTTACTTTGAGGACTAAGAGCAACTGATCCCTGAAAGGTGACTGAGAAAGCAGAGTTATGGTTCTGACATTTCTGAATCCTTATCCTAGGCCAGGTGGCCAATGAGCCACCTTTATTGTGTAAGTATGTATGGAAGATATTTTTATTACTCCTATCTTACAGAGGAAGAGACTGAGGCATAGAGTAATTACCTTGCTTAGGTTCACCCATCTAGTAAGTACATAGCAGAGCAGCTCCTTTGGGGCCTTGCTGGTGTGTTAACAGAATAAGTTTGTCTTAGCTCTCTATCATGTTGCCTCTGCATCACCCTTGCCTAGAACACTATCAGGTTCTTGCTTGGTACCCGATCTTTTTATAGACAAGTGGAAGGATTTCAACAATGGAAACTGTTGGAGAAAGAAGCAGAGAAATGTAAAACTCAGATTCTACCAACATGTATGTGAATTTGAAGTTGTATAGGTAATGTCCCCGTAGTAAATGCTACCACTGACACTGTTGTTAAACAGTCCACTTATGAATAAGGAAGACCGCAGAAGAAGTGATGCATTTGATTTGGTGTTGACAAAGCATATTGAATGCCAGGAGAATGAACAAATCTGTCTTGGAAGAAGTAAAACCAGAATATTCCTTAGAAACGAAGATGGTGAGACTTCATTTCTTGTACTTTGGACATGTTATCAGGAGGCACCAGTCCTTGGAAAAGGACATCATGCTTGGTAAAGTAGAAGGTCAGTGAAAAAGGAAAAACCCTCAACAAAATGGATTGACTCATCATTGCAGCAATGGCTTCAAACATGGCATAGATTGTAAGTATGGCGCAAGACCAGGCAGTTTTTCATCCTGTTGTACATAGGATCTCTAGGAGTCGGAACCAGCTCGACAGCACCTAACAACAACAACAATATACAACTATTAAGTGACCGAGTATTATTCCAAAATCCATGCCATTTCCATATGGTATACCGTGCTGTTTCCACAACCACAAACCTTTAACTTGGCCACTCAGCTGTGATGTGTAATCCAGTATTATAAACACAAGACAAATAAAACCTTGCAGAAACAAAATATTCTGTTTTAAAAGGAATGCAATCTAAAAGACTATGCCCTTTTGATTTATTTTGGGGTAAAAATACCTTTGTAGTTATGCTCTCTTTTCTTGAGGGGTGGGAGATGAGGGAAGGGGTGTGGGTTGAGGAAAAGAAAATCATTTTCCACAGAGGATTGAGCAAAGTGTAAGAGCATGTCTTCAATTTGGTTTGGCAGACCTCAAGCTTTGACTCAGAAGCAGGAAATTTACTTTGGTCTCCTGACTGGGTTACCATGTTTACCAGCCACAGGGCAGGAAACATACCACAGCAATGAAATCAAATTGACATGCCATACTGAGGGAAGGAGGAGTTATTCAATAAGCTGAGGTACAGAATGACAAGCCCTATAGAAATGTAGCATACATTGACAGACTGGAAGTTTGAGTATCTAAGAGAAAGAGACCTCAAGCGACCTAACATACCCTGAATGTTTTGAAATTCCTCGAGTATAAAAAATGAGAATGAGAAAGTCTCAGGTAGATTTAAGCTTACTCTTCCTTTGTAGCAAAAATCAATCCCAAGGTTGTGTATTAAGTGGACTGTTTAACAACAGTGTCAGTGGTAGCATTTACTACGGGGACATTACCTATACAACTTCAAATTCACATACATGTTGGTAGAATCTGAGTTTTACATTTCTCTGCTTCTTTCTCCAACAGTTTCCATTGTTGAAATCCTTCCACTTGTCTATAAAAAGATTGGGTACCAAGCAAGAACCTGATAGTGTTCTAGGCAAGGGTGATGCAGAGGCAACATGATAGAGAGCTAAGACAAACTTATTCTGTTAACACACCAGCAAGGCCCCAAAGGAGCTGCTCTGCTATGTACTTACTAGATGGGTGAACCTAAGCAAGGTAATTACTCTATGCCTCAGTCTCTTCCTCTGTAAGATAGGAGTAATAACAATATCTTCCATACGTACTTACACAATAAAGGTGGCTCATTGGCCACCTGGCCTAGGATAAGGATTCAGAAATGTCAGAACCATAACTCTGCTTTCTCAGTCACCTTTCAGGGATCAGTTGCCCTTATCCATAGCTGGTGGGAAGAGCTCTAAATTAGGCATCAGAAAACATTGTTTTAGTTCAGGTTCTACCATTTATTATACACCTGCTCTATGATCTTAGTAGTAGGGGTAATAATAGCTAGCCATTATAATTCTTATTCTGTGCTTGGCATTTTATACCAATTTAATTCATTTAATTTTGACACAGGTAATAGTCTCCTCATTTTACAGATGAAATAAGTGAGGTCTAAAGAAGTTATGTAATTTTCTCAAGGTCTTGCAGTTTCTAAGTGTGAAGTTGGGATTCACCCCGGAAAACTGATTGCAGAGCCCATGGTCCTGACCATATGCTGGCTGAACTTATCCAAGCTAGTTTTTCTGTCCACAAGTGTCTCATTATTTAATTAGTTTAGGTAAAGGATGTTATTTTGGTTTTTTTTTGTCTGCTCAGCATCTTTTTGGGGAGGTAATCACCTTCCCCCATGTCATGAAGTTCTGTTGAGGCTTTGGATTAAAGGACTCTTGTCCAGAATGATCCAATCCCCTGTCAATGGGGATTGGCACAAGAGGAGGACAATCAGTCTTTCCCTTGGACAAACTGACAAAGAATTTTCTCTGGGGTTGTTTTGCTGGGGCTGCCAGGAGCCACATTTCCCACAGGGTGGAAAGGCACTTTCTTCAGTAAAAGAGACTGAGATGTACATATAATGAAAAATAGATCATCAGGAATAAAATATGAATGGAGAATGAGATATGGCTTCTTAGAAAACCTGGTTCCAGTCCAGAGGACCTGATTCTTTTAGTTAATTGCTTCAACTCTGTGATCAACCCAGTACCTCCAGCTACACCAGCAGAGTTTCATTTTTGCTTGAATAGTCTTTCAGTGAGATTGAATAGTGTTTTTATTACATGCAATCAAAGACATCTAACAAATACAACAAGAAAGAGGCATTAGAGTTAGCAGTAGATAAAATATGCACAAATGTAGGGTAAATTATCTATTAGTGACTAAAACAGTATTAAATTAGACATAACCAAAACCAAACTCATTGACAAGGAGTTGACTCTGATGCACAGCAACCCTATAAGACAGAGTAGAGATACCCTATAGGATTTCCAAGGCTGTAATCTTTACAGAAGCATATTGTCACATCTTCCACCTGCAGAGCAACTGGTGGGTTTAAACCATGGACTTTTCAGTTAGAAGCCAAGTGCTTAAACACTGCACAACCAGG